AAGGCACCTTCGCAATTTTCACTTGCGGCACTTCTGTTCACCACAGTAGGAAGTGGTACAAAAGAAACTGACCTGTGAGAGAAAATAATAAAGTAATACAAATCTCCCCATAATTCACTTTTTGAAGGGTGGCGTTCGGGGAGCGATAGTACGAACCAACAACAGCCATATGCTGGTAAAAGAGAGATGGTTCCTTTGTTTATAAGCAAGCGGGTAGCAATTTCGACACCTTGGCATGTGCCAGCACCTGTTTACCGCCGAAATGAATGACAGATGGTTGCCCCAGTAGTGGTGCAGTTCTCAACCTTCAGCATTACAGCAGTGCTAGTCGCCAAAGCGCTGCGCTTCAAACTTCTTCGCACGTTTCCGGAAACCGTAGCCTGTTACCGCTTTTTGAACGCTCGTACAAAAACGTAAAAAAAAACGTAAAAAAACGTAAAAAAACTTTGTAAACGTAAAAAAAAAAAAATGAACTGGGAAATTGTGAAAGCTAGGAAATTGAAATTTCGGAACTATAGACAAAGTTCCAGTCTCTTAACCTATATTTTACGATATTCCCGGTTCTTATTTGATCCGATAAACGGAAAATCAACTGTCTTGTGCACTTACGTCCCACGTAAAGACGAATGAAAAAAATCCGGAAAAAACAGGCTGAAATTTAATAAGGATGTTTTCTGCCCATGTGGGACCTGAAGATTTTGAAGTTTTAAACCCAATTTTGAGGCGACCGAGTCTCGCGCCGGAGCAAATGAGGCATCGAGCCTGTTTGCTTCTAAATTGACTAAAAAGCTATATTTTCCAGGATTTTTATCGCTAATGCGCTGGCCCAAAAGCATAAAACAAATTTTCGCGATTTGTACGTGCAGTTTGGATACGTTAAATGTACAATTTGAAAACTTTAGGCATTCCTCTAAACCGAAGACCAGACAAAAAGATTGGATATTCACGCGGACGTTTGTTGTTCATATTTCGCCCCAAAAACGCAAAACGAGCTTTCACGAGTGCTCAAGTACGTGAGCAAGCACACCAAAGTTCCATTTGCAAGACTGTCGAAAGTCTTCCCTCAAGTACATTAGAAAGCTGAAATTTCACATGGCCCCAAAATGTTACCTTCTCCGTCAATGGCTCTAACCTTCTTATGTGCAAGAACAGGTCGAAAAGAGCATTCCCGGCATGAATGCATATATCAAGCTATAAAACAATGACCACTCATACTAGAAAGGATCTTACTGTTGCACGAAACCGTGAAAAAAGCATGTTCGCATCCGCAGCTCTGATGCGCGCCGCTGTTATTTTACAAAGCAGTTGTTAATAAAATTAATTTTTTTTTAATGCCAATGTGCTTTGAAAACGCTTACACTGCTAGGTCAGGGGGAGTGGGCTGTAAGCCCTGCACTCCCAAACAATCGGGCTACTTCGAAGTGCTTCCGTCTCTCAAGGGGAACAAATGCAGGAAGGGTTTCGACTGCTTAATTTTGAAGTGCGATAAAAAAGCAGAAGCTAATTAATACAAAATTAAGTCATTTTAACAGTGCATCTATTGGCGCAATCGTAAATTTGCTGTTACATACGCAGCGATTTCAAGAAGACATTGCACAAAGTGCTTTTCGCGATACAACTCTGTCCGCTTTAAAACTGTGCGTCAATTATGCTGTCATATCACTAAAATTATCGCAAATTAATACGCCTATTTAAATCCCATCTTTTAAAATGTAAATCAAACTATCGTAAAATGCGTCAGCGCACTGATCTCTGTCTCTCTGGGTACAGAGCTTTCCCTACCAAACCAACAAGCTGTGATGGCATACAGTCTCAGGGTTTCTTACATTAACAGCTCTCGCTGAGGTACTCTGAACTAGGCTTACTGGGGGACATACCATTAAATAAAACGATTAGACATGCAAAAAAGAAAGTTCTGTCGAAGGAGGGCGTATATGCACTTGAGGTCGGATGGTGGGCGTAAATGCTTATTGCACGTCCCCAAATTATGTGACAAAACGAAGCTACAACAAGCCGATAGGCTCGATCTACTTCATGCAGCATGGCATTATGTAGTCCTAACGAATTACCGCATTAAAAAAGCTGTATTCGACCTTTGTCCTTTAATTCCACTTGATCGTAGGCAAAATTTTCGCCGCGAAAGTACCGAGATTTGCGCAATGACACGCCAAAGCACATTGCTCGGGAAATGGCCTATCAGGCAACGCGTGGTAGCACCAAGCTGTTTTGGCAGCGAATTATTATCCTAAGGCCATTATGTTCAAATCTAATAGAATTGGGCATTCGTCGACCGTTGTCTTACAACGACATGGCAGCAAATTACTTGCTCTGAAAACAATGCTGCGCGGTTGCAGACGGGTTACCACATGGAAGGCAATATGTGCCAGTGCCGCAGAGTGACTTCGACGACCCATAAAAACCAGTGGAAAACCTTCAATTTGGTTAACTTACGAAGGTAATCAGAAAAGAACTATGCAGCATAAAAATATCATACGTCTTTTGCGATCTCTTCCAAGCACTTCAAAAAAAAAAATCTTGTAACTGTGACTTGCTGCGGATTTGCATTTCCGAAGTTGAGTACAAAATTTTGGGAAAAAAGCTTCAGTAAGCTTGGACAAATGCGAGGAGCATCTCCAAAAATGGTTATCGGTGAGTGTTTTTACGCGTAATTTTGAAAACTATTTTTTCGCCACAAGGATGAAGATCGAGTGAGCGGTTTTGGCTATTCTAAAATGCATCTAATCAAATCACTGACAAACAATCCTTGCCGCAACAAGATGCAGCTGAAGCAAACTGTTTCGTGGAGGTAATAACGAAAAGTGCCGCTTTTAAAGCATCCTCGCTACCGCTACCAAAGGTAAAAGCACAAGCAAGTTCTCTTTCGAAAAGTAATAAAAAAAAATGGAAAATTTCGACTAATTGTAGTTTAGGCTTTTTTGGGCCATGAAGTGCAGTACATCTGTCTTCCGCAGACTATAAGCCCGTAAAATGTCATTAAGTTCGAAACGATTTTTCTACAATGAAGCTATAAGATGCCAAAATGAAAAATTCGTATATTTGTGGCTTTACTGGTTGGCTGCATTCTCAACCATCATAACAGACCTTACTGCTGATGTGCTCGCTGCGAACAACCGAAACTACTGCTCCAAATCATCTAATCAGTCCAGGTTTGCTAAGCTACATTAAAGCTGAGGAGTCGCTCCTAATTTTGTGCACTCCGTGCGGTCTGAACTTTGAGAAAATACAAAGAGTGCGATTTCGCTGCCAGTGCATACAACGACTAAAAAGCTGCTCGTTTGTGATGCAGAATTCAGCATCTGAAGAGAAAAAAATTCGACTGAAAATCAGCGTCAAGACTGGAAACAAAAAAGCCGAAAATAAGTAACATACTAGCCGAGCCCCAAAGCCACAAACTTGCGCATCCTCATGTCCTGGAGCAATGGAAAGCAAATAAAGACGAAGGCAGAGATTTTTTTGAGGTTACATACTTCCTGGCTAACAAATTTTAAAAAAGTACTTTTGAAGCATAGCATTTCGTTGTATCATACGTTCGGCAAGACCATCGTCCTCGTCACGAGGCTCCAACATCTCCACAACCAGCGGTTTTGGACTCCTACAATGTGCCCGGCAAATAATGCACAAACAACCTCAACAGCAAAGTCCAAGACAAAAAAAACCAACAACAACAGAAACGAACAACATTCCACAAATGAAATCACGGACGCTAGACTTGCCGAGTATAGAAAGTTAGAAAGGACAGAGTGAGGCGGACGGCTCGCATAGTATACGGCCATATATTTGGTAAAAAAAAAAAATAATTGGCCAACGCACGGACTGCCCGTGCGAAGATGCGTTTTTTGCACAGCACCCCGCAGATTTTTGCCGCTAACGGCACTGGTTTTTCCGGCAGATGTTTCTATCCAAAAGAA